TTTTTTTTTTTTTAGGGGCGTGGGGGAGGGAGTGGTGGAAATATTCTGGAGCACGAAATTTTTTCGCACCCCTAGGTTGTACAATCTTGTGCAGAACGAATTCAAAGATGCTTTGCCTTTCAAGGATCAGTGTTCAGTTTTCTTTTGTTTTGTCATCTATTAACCACGCTTTTATTCGTGAATTAACCAAATGGTGTTCCGTCTCCTTCACGGCCTTGATTCCAGACGTCACGCGTCATGCAACACTTACACAAGACCGTTGCATGACGACCGACCTTCGTAATGGCTATCCAGTGCCCCAGTAAGCTTACACGAAATATCCCTACAAGTGACTCAGATGCTTTAAGAGTAATACAAGTACAAGCGCGTCCCATTCTTGATTTTGTACTGTTTAAGCGTAGAATTGATGAATCTGTATTCTGCTTTGGTCGCTGGATTGAATAACATGAGAGAATTCGAGCGGCTTCTACACGGGTAGTTTTCCTTGTGAAGGGCCATTTTTCTGGACCGGTGAAAGATCGTGCACAGTTGATCCACCAGGTACTTTATCGTGTCGGTGTCCTGAACACCTAAGGTCACGTGTTCCCTTGGTACCCAGTACTCTTTGCTCTCGGAACTGGCGTGTACTACAAGGAGCTCTGAGAATTAAAATCAACCGCGTTTATTAAACGAAAAATACTGATCCTTGTATTGAAGCCCCGAAAACCGTTTCCACGATGTTAAAGATGTTTTTTGGTAATAGACACTTTCGATGTATTAATATTCAGCTTGATAGTGAGGCCAAGAGGACAAAAACAAAAGAAATTAATAAACATGTCATTCAGTTTCCTTTGTTTGTGTCCTCTAGGCCTCGCTGCCAAGCTGAATTTTAATATCTCAAAAGTGGTCTATTCTTTAAAAGAAATCGTCCCTCGGTACAGTGAAGTTAAACAGCTTTAACTAATTTGTCGTGTTTAGATTGTGTTGCCTTCAAGCGCTGAGTCGTTCAACCAAAGATAAGATTGTTTTATCCAAGGATAAGATTGTTTTCCTAACTGAGGTGAACAAAAAGCTATCTGGAAGACGAATAAAAACTGTCGATGTTTCCCATGGCGTTACTTAATCTATTCCCATGAAAAGTCTGGTGAGTGTTGAAATGAATTACTGTTGTTATGGGAAAAGTTGATAGGGTACCTACTACCTGGAACGCTTGGTTTTATTTTGTACCAATTTATTAAGGACTAAGGACTGTTGTGATGTGTTATCAATATTGCTTCAGTAGCCATTGACACGTGTTGATTGATATGTGGTCATCAGTTTTCTGCCTCTTTTAGGGTGGCCAGAAATTCACAAGGTTTTCTGGTGTCACCCGTTAACGGGTGACAATATTGGCACTGTTATTTCTGTGTCAACATTTTACGGTGCAATTAAGAATCTCGCCTTGTCAGACGTGGAGGAAAAGACCTTTAGTCTAAGTGTGGGTGCTCCATCAGATCACACCGCGTAACTCCCTTCCCCAGAACATAAAGTGACTAGGAGTTATGGCCCTCCCCCTCCCCAAACGGGATACTAGGCCATTGGAGAAAGGCACTGTGAGAGAACAGTCTTGCCCAAGAACTCAACACTGATTCTGGTTAAAAAAAGGTTGAGCCTGCATACGAGCCAAATGGCTCATCAGGCCGGAGCTTATCCCGGTTTCTGTAGTATGAAGTGACTAGGAATATTACTACTCCCCCCCGGATGAAATGCTAGTCCATCGCAGGGTTACCCTCTGCATTAAATTCTCTGGTGCCCATTTGTACACCTGGATGGAGAGAGGCACTGTGAGAGTAAAGTGTCTTGCCCAAGAACTCAACACCTCATCTTGCACAGAGCTCAAATCCCGACTGCAAAACTCACTAAGGTCTTCTCAAACACTTCATTTCTTATTCTGAAACAATAAACTCGTTACTAACCTGCTGCCACCAGACGCCAAGCAAGCGATGCAATGAAAATTATAAACCCCAGCATTTCCGTTCTAAATGGATCTTCTGGTGGTCACAGAAATCAAGATACGTATTTCGTGATCCTTAATATTTCATCGCAAAATTTGAACAAAAAACGCACTTTTAATCTCTATTACACAGACTTCAATTGCTGGTTAACAACTTGGCTTTGAGCTCTCGACCAATCAAACTGGAAAACCATTTGGGCTGTCATGTATCCGTCATAAAGTATTTTAGCACCCGCTCATTGTAGTTTAGAGCCACTCTTGGTAATTACACTGATGTGGTCTCCTAGTATTGTCGTCCAATTTGGGATATAATTAGATTAAAACTCTGGCTGCCAATTCGGAAAACCATTTTAGTAATCAGTTATCCTCATACAGCACATTGTGTTAGCCCCATTAGTTTTGTCTTCACGGATGTAATTTGCCGGATGACCCACGCGTGGGTGGTGTGATTAACGCTATTTCCTAAACGATAGGGGGTTTGGTAGAGAGGTTTAGTTTGTCATGTAGAATGGCCGAAACAATTAAGCTTGTTACCGTCTGGATGGAATTGCGGGTATTAATGTCAGCTGTGTGCTCAAACCTTGGTTTTGTTGCAGATAAGCTATTATGGTGAGATTGAGACCCAATTTGGTGGTAAAATTAAATATCTCCGTACGAGTGCCAATTCTAAAACTGGTTAGATGAGAGCAGACACAAGGCCCTTAGACTGAAAAAAAGTTTAAATTAACCACATTGATTAAATGACTCGACGTTTGAGTGTTATCACTGTACAAGAAATCAAAAGTAAATGGAAACTGAGTTGGAAAATTACAAATTGGATTAAGAAATTTGTCAGTTGTTCTCTTATCTATCTCTTGCCCGGCACTGCTTATGTAACGAACCCTGTAATTTATCTCCATTTAGACTTACTTCGGAGGTCTTTTAAAATCAGTAATTTAAAATTTGTCACTTAATTTCTTACATATGTCTTGTCCGGTACTACAAGTGTAACGAAGCCTGTATTCTATCTCCATTCAGACTCACTTTTAAGGTCTTTTAAAATCAGTAATTAAGTTTTGCAAGTCAGTATTAAACTCGACGAATGAACGTTAATTAACGCGATATTGCAATTGCAATTACACCGGGAGAATTTGTAAATGCAACAATCACCGCTCATTTTGGATTTGTGTGTGAGGAAGAATTCGGTCAGGGAAATCATCTGATTATCGTGACGCCACTGTTTTCAAAAAGCTCCGTTTTCAAAAAGCTCCGCTTTCAAAATGTCTCCCGTCCCCACTAGAACGCAAAGCCGGCGTTTTCAAAATGTTCCTGTTGGGAGAGCTCCGTTGTCGTGACGGATTAGTGTGAACGGTAGGCCTAACCAGAGATATAAAACTGCGTTTTCAAATTTCTCTGGCGTAGTGTGGACCCTGCCTTACTAGGCGAATGAACGTTAATTAACGAATAAAAAAGCAAAAGCAAAATTGCAATTAAATTAAATGGCGGATTTTAAAGGAATAGTGTAATTAATCGAGTTTATGTGAAAAGCAATCGTGCACGCTATGTTATGGCCTCAGCTTATTAACCTTTTTCTCTGGGCGTCTTCTAATCTAATTATTTTTTTTTATGGAGCGAAATGTTCGTGAAACCGTGTAAGAAAATTTCCACCAGTGATCAGCTATCAAGGAAGCGAAAGACTTATCTCTTGTTAAATTTAAAAGGAACTGGACAGTTTTTAAGCAAGCGAACAAATTATTTGAAACATTAAGTACGAAGCACAGTTAGATCACTGAAAATGGAATAAGAAAAAAAGTGATTCAAGAAGACCAACCGTTTTAAAGTAAATTAGGCTTAGTCACAATGAATTAGAGTGAAACACCAAGAGAACGTGTGACGAGTCTGACAGCTTGCTGTAAACGAACAGATTTAAAGAATTGAGGGGGGCCATTTGATTGTGTTTTTCTTCGAGCTAAAAAAATGAGAGGAAATTGAATCTTTTCGTAAATGAATCGGATTGTGAAGAAAGAGGCATTGACAGATGATCAAAGCTTAAAATAAATTACGTTTAAGGAAGGCACAGAAGTCAAGCTGGTAAACAATTTTGCAAAAAGCAAAGCGAAAGAACAGAAGAGAACGTGTCACGCCTGTACCTGAGGTCTAGTTAGCTAGCCAATGAAAATTGTGCAAGTGTTTTCAAACAGCGTGAGCAATAGTCACGCTGGAGAGCATTTACTGAGTCACGTGTCACGCTTGTACAGTTAGCCAACCAATGAAAATTGTGCAAATGTTTATAAACAGCGTGAGCAATAGTCACACTAGAGAGCGTTTTACTGAGTTAAACTGAGGGTGATGTAACACGACAAGATTGGCAGCACCGATTTTTGAATTTTTTAAACCGACATTCTCTCGGCAAGTTGCACGAGCCGGTTTTTACCGCGATATTGTTGCGTATAAAATCGTCTCGTGTAACAAGCTGCGCTGGAAGATTTTTAAAACTGCAACATTGTTACAAAAATATTGATGGAGTTGCTTTTTGTTACGCCCTCGCCGTTGAATCTTTAGTCGACAATGCATCTTAAAACTGTTCTGAACTTTCGCCTTTAACCCTTTAATCGGCTTTATTACCTGTGATTAAATGCCCGAGCGATGCGACTGAGCACCTCTCGGCGAATGAGGAAAAATTATTGTCACCATATAAGGTTCTACAAATGTAGAGGTGGGTTTTTCGTCTGAAAGCAAATTAGCGCGTCCAGATATGAATCAGCGATATCGCTGAAGTTGAAACATCTATAGAATCTTCTCGCATTATCTTTAGGTCAAGAAAATAGGTTACCATCCTTCGGAGATGGTACGATAAGTTTGGCAGTTTTGTTTGAAATTCCCAAACTGTTATCTCGGGAGAAGTATTTCAGTCAACAGAACGGCCCGCGTTGTATTTTCGAGTGTTATTGGTTGAAAAGTAAATATAATCTGCGGTTTCTAGACAGCAGGTGCTAACAGTCGTAGCTAATAAAACAGTGGTAAAGTTTAGGCAATATTTTTTATCCTCTTGTGTCCAGTAGATACGGTCTTTTATTGCCTACTTTTTCTCAAATTACCGCTTTAATGGAAGAGAGACACAGCTCGGGCGTGCGTTTGAAGCCACGAAATGCGAAAGAAAATAAATGTAACACAAAAACAGCGAAACAAGTTTTCGTAGTTTTTAATTATTTATAATTTATTTTTCGAATCTTCTTGGATCTACACCTCGGTTATTTCTCGAAAGTCGACTACAAGAAAAATAAGTTAAAACACTTCCTCTAGTTTTGATTGAAATGGTGGCTGTTTTCTTGTGATTCAATGGACGGTATTTTCGTGCGCGGTTTGTTTTGTTTTAACTGCAAGCAGAGCTATCTTTAGTGCCCGACTAACTTCCTTTCAAACAATGCTTTGTTCAGCATCTTGAATAAAAATTTCGCATCGACAGTGACGCCAATCGTTTCCTCGAGATCATTAAGAGGTCGCTTGAAATAGACACACAAACGATGCCCCGAATTTTCCGTCAGCGATTACTCAAGAATTTTTTCCGCTCTCATTTGTAACGATTGACCTTACAAGGCAGATTAACATATTGAGACAAGGAAAAATAATAGCTCCTAAATAAACATTTGAAGTTATATTTCTTATGTTTAGAGGGTTCTCGTGTTTACCATGAATAAATCTAGCCGCACAATAATTGCAGAATTGCATTGAATCGAAGAAAAATATCTAAACATATCGCGAGTGCAGTCGGAAGATTTCTAATTTTGTATCAAGTTCAAATTCATGAACATTTTCATAATTTTTTTTTCAAAAATTTTAGTGGACCTTCAAATTTCCTCGGTCGACTACGGTGTTTTTTTTATATTATTATTATTTCAGTTTCGTATGACGCTCTCGAAATTCGCTTCTAAGGTTGTCTTATGAAATGTTTACAGAAAAAATGGAATAATTGAAATCTTACAATTGTCGCGTCGCCGTACATTATTTCCTCGCAGTGCTTTTGCAAGCCTACATTTTTTTATGCGTCGCCCAAAATTGTATAAGAAGCTTAAGGAAATTGTTTTGTCGCTGCAAAGTGGAATAAACGTCTCGCTCCTATCCGTGGTTGAGTAGCATTCAAGAGTTCTGTCAGGCAGATATGTTCACACCCGACAAGATTTGACTATTTTAAGCAAATGTCCGTTGTTTTGCAATGCGTTTTGTTTGATACAATATACCTATGAAGAAAAGTTTTTCTAATATTAGTCCTGAGAAATTGTTTAACACGTACTTCCTTCCTTAATAAAAACATCCTTGTTTCCACATCTTGCATTCCGATAAATCCCTGAAAACAAATCCGGTCAATTTGACAGCTTGCAAGAGCTAACCAGTACTAAAAGCGAGCTAGAACATCCGCTCGCCAAAACACTCAGTTCTTTGCCATGATTTTTTAATAAACCTCTCTCTCCTGCGATCAAATTCAACCACCTTGATCTTTAATTCCAAGTTTGACCCATGCTCCGAGCCGTAATCTCTTTGCAAACTTTGAAGGCATTTATTTTGTTTCGTTTCTTTCGTGTTCCAATCTTGTTTTCCGCTGTGCAGATCACTTCGGCCTGGAACTCTGCGCTTCAGATCGCCGCCTATCGGTAGGCTTGTGTTTCACCGGGCTACTCGCTCCGGATTCGCTGTAGAACTGGTCGGACCAGCTCACAACGCTGGCTGCCCTGCTAGTTCGCTCCCGATCATGACCTGACATGCGATCGTCGGCGTCATTGTTAAATATATCTGCTGACGTTTCCCGTATTGGCGACAGCGCTCTGCGTCCAGCTACAGGCGACTTGGAACTTCGACGCGAGCCTCGGTAGCTCGAGCCTGAGGGAGTCAAAGACTGAGGATTTCCCGTGCTCATCGCATCGCGGTTTTTTCCTATGACTAGATTTGCTACCTTGTAGTTTGCCTGATGGCTGAGACTAGATGTATTACTTAGACGTCTGTCGCTACCGACGCGACGGTCGGGGGATTGCCGACTTGAATTTGAAGCCGAGTCCACGGACGCTTCGGATCTCGATGGCCTGGATGTTCTCGGACTCAGAGATTTCAAACCCTGGATATTATTGTCTTTATTCATAGCTAGTCGCTTGGCGGCCATCGCTGTAACCGGCGTAAGGACTTTCACAGTGAGAATAAGTCTCCTTGTCATCTGCATTAAGGCGCTAACATCTTGAATGGTCATAGTCCGTACGTCCACTTTGTTCACTTTAATAATCTCATCACCAACACGCAAAAGTTCAAAAACATCCACGTCTGTTCCTAAAACAACACGAGACACAAAAATTCCCTGCTCACGTTCCCATCCATCGCCCTGGCGAATATAAAATCCAAGAGTCTCACCCGGCTTACGCCGCAACTCAATCGTGCGTTGCAGAAACGTTCCGTTTTTCGAGCACGCCTCGCGAACACCTAGCACGTGCCTGAAAGAGCCTTGAATGATCTTTATAGGCAGAGGTGGGCACGGGTCGCCTTTAGTATCTGGCTCTGTTATATCGGTTGCTTTCCTAATCGCAAAAAATTCATCCTCTTTTTCGGCAAGTCTCATTTTCTCGAAGTCTTCCTGTGAAACGCTACTAAAGCGTCGCAGCTGTTCCACGATTTCTTCATCACCCGACTTGGTCGCCGAAGAAAAAGCCCTTCCGTTCGGCGACGATGGCTTCTTCCTTGCGTCTTCTTGACGTACAGCCATGTTATTTCTACGCAGTGTTTGCTACGCGTCTATCCGAGCCGCCATATTGCTTGAATTCAAAATGAAAAGTTTGCATGCAATTATGGAATATTGTGGTTGGGAACCAATCAGCGCCGCTCATCCAAGACAGGTGTGCGCCGTCACATAAAAACAATACACAGAGCTGGTTGCCAGTCAATTTTTTCTTAGGCCGCAGAAAACAATTAACTGCGCGAATATTTTGGTGTGAAAACCAATGGAAAAATCCTTTTTGAGGAGATTTCACTGCGCGAAGTATAAACAAGTAGCGACTTGAGATCGCAAACTGTTCAGCGAGCCATGAATTCCCGCAATTTACTGCCATCGAATGTGATAGCTGTTACGCAGCGCCTAAAAGCAATACTATAACATGTAGTCTTAATTTTTTGCGGCTGATAGATCCGATGAAGGCGACGCAAAATTTCTCTAGAACGTTGATAATTTGATTGTGTAGTGTTAAAGTGACGAGAATAGAAACGACAACATTATGGGGCTTTCGGCAGAATGAATATTTACCACTTATTTTGAAAAGAACTTTCCAACGCTTATTTCATCCTTGCCAAATAGAAAGTTTTATCTGTTGGTCAAACTGAATTTTTTTTCGTTGCCAATTTTCAACTTACAATACTAAATCTTTTTTTTTTTCTATCTTCGCGATTTTTATCCCGAGTTATTAATGTCGCTATATCCAGGCTACCAGACACGTCAAATAGCAAAATCTTTTCAAGGTATTTTAAAAGCAGAATATGGTTTGTTATGTGGTGAGCTTAGCACCCAAAATAAAAATTCGATATCATTGCGATATATTTTTTTTAACATTAAGGTTTGACATTACAAGTTTATTTCTGTCCGAAAATGCTCCAAATTTGTCACTTCAACGATGTAAACAAGCTTCCGAATCGTTCATTTTCAAACTGGTCATCGTTAAAGTGTGTTTACAACGTTTTAAGATTAACTCTAGTGCTTTGTTTGACAAGCCACAATGAAAACGCGCGTTCCGGATGACGTCAGAGGATTATTTTTAGCTTGTCTTCCGGTCGGAAAACGTGTTCTGTGGCGATTGTAAAACCAATTTAGGTACAAATGACGTCAAAGTTTCGTGTTCGATGAAAGTTTACAGCTTAAGTTGTCTTTATCGTGGATGGATTTTGTCTAGCTTTTAAGCTGTACAAATGTTTAAACTCTGATTACCGCTATTTTAACGCGGAGATATTTCAACAGACAAGAACGCAATGCTGTTTTCAAAAAAAAAACAAACAAATAAAGTATGGAATGCATTTATTTTAGTATGATATATTTTTGAAATTTCCGTTGAAAAGACAAAATAATGCGTTTTTTATTAATCTGCTTGTGCTTAAGGCTACATCAGTACTAATTTGATATCAATACGTGATTTTGTTCTAAAAATGTTCCTTCTAAAATAGCCTGGGCTTAAAAATAACTAATCGTTGTTTTTGAAGCTGGGACAGAAGATGAAAGTAATTCAAACAATCCATTTTTCAGCGAATAAATTGACCGCCATCGGTTTCAAGTTATGTTTTTTCGACACCTGGCCAAGGCTTTTCAAAAACTTAGACAGGATTTTTTTTTTCACTTAATCTTTCGCTGGAACCAGTCATTAAGTGCTTTTATCTAATTGAAGTCCTGGTATAAATAGGCCGCAGCCCTATCTCTCAAAATACGAGGTTCTCTGATGCTGAAGTCATATATAGACTCCCACATCACGCGTCCCGCGTCCCGCGTCCCGCATCCCGCGTCCTGCATCCCGCTTTCCGCCAAGTAATTTTGCTTCTAAAGCGAGGCGGGTTTCGACTGTAAACACAAGATTAAGAGATGGCAACGAAACACTCTGAAAGGCTGGACTATACTCAGCGTTTCGCTGTGATTTCGTTTTAGAATTTCGTGGCCTGTTATACCGGCTGAGTTAGTGAGTAGAGTGTGTGAATCTTTATTAATGTGGTTAGTATACACTTAGTTCATTAATGCAGCCGCAATGCGGTAGATGCTGGATCGATGTGACTGTCGGTCCAGCAGCTATTTTACATGTGATGCTATGCATAAAACAAGTTTATCTGTTTCTAAATCAAATGCTGTTCTGGGCTACTTTTAGGCTAAATTTTCCTTATTTGGTGGTAAAATGCAATATCTCAAACATTTCGAATTCAATCCCTCGGCTTATTTTCGGGGATAGTTTCTCGGAGGATTGTAGAGGAGTGTTGTTTTAGCACTTATCAGCACTTATCAGTGTCTCTAATTTCTGCGCATAGAATGTTGCCTGAAAAATGCGTTGAGCTTATAACTGCATAGGCTTTAGCGTTTGCATTGTTTTAGTAGCGACATCGAGACTGCGTTTTTATTCGATTATAAAAAAGAATTCTGTGAAAAACGATCGAAGAAATCAACCATACTTGGATTTGTTTGCACTTGATAAGTAATCACCTTGAAAACTTTGACGCTTGAGAATAGTTCAGAGAAACTCTCTCTGTGGACAATTGAAACTGACCTGACAATTAGAAAAATGCAAGTTCATTTTGAAACGCAATACTCCCTACAAACCCTTTGCTGAGGCATCACGTATAATCGGTCGCGCGTGTATGTCGCGCGTGAAGTTTCTTTTCTTCTGCCCATGATCTAACTAAAGCCGGGAACGTGACACCAAATGATTCGTGCTGGTGACTTAGCTTTGCGCGACGAAGCATTGCTCTAAGTCGCATTTCGAAAGTTCATCGTCTTTCTTACCTGTGAGTTTACCGCAGTAGTGGTTATAATACACAAGCATTTTTCTACGAGGCGGCTTGCTCCAGTCTCTTGCAAATTTAAACAGAATATTCGTTATTTTACTCCAGAAGAAGCCAGCCTCAACCAATAGTCTGTCAGTGTGTCAGCAATGGAACATACGCAATACTGAATGACTCCCATGCGGCTGACAAGTAGAGTTGCAGGTTGCAAAATTTGGATCTGCACGTCATGAGTGATATCAAGCTTGTATCGTCGTTAAACTTCACTGGCAGTATATATATTTTTTTTTACAAAATAAAATATTTATACTCCTTGATGAGTGTAAAATATTTATACTCCTTGATGGACCTTGATGACGTCAATCAAGGTAAGGTTTGTTCATTCATTAAATTGTACATGTAAAAGCTACTTATTTTTAGATTCCATTAAGGTAACTTATCGCTGCTTTTTTAACGCATCTTATCACTCTTTTGTAGACCTTCGCATCGCAGAGGTCTTTTCAGAATCTGTCTATCGATATTCTGATTCTCAACATGATGAGAAGGGAGACGAACGTAAGTGGGACTTTCTTAAGGTAACTTCGTTTTAAAGATAGTTCAGAGCAAACCGATCTTCACGCCTCCAATTCAGAGATTCTTGATGTTAGGCCCTATGCAAATGGGAAATATTTGGCGACCAAACACGATCAAACATGTTTTGGTGACCAAACATTTTCCCGTTTGGACACCTTGTTTGATCGTGTTCAATCATACTTGACAAAATTTGAACGACGTCAAACATTTGATCAAACGTTGTATGACATTTCATTCGTTCAAACATGTTTGATACCGTTTGGCCACTCTGTGCAGCATCAACATGTTAAGTCACCAAACAACGTTTGATCGTGTTTTGGTCGCCAAACATTTTCCGTTTGGACAGGGCTTTATACAGCGTTAAGAGACGCACAGTTCACCCTTAAATGCAATGATTCTTTCAGTTGACGGAACGTCAGCCCATTTTGAAGGATGCATGTTAGGCAAGACGGTCACCTGCCTGAAGAGAGAAGTAGGTTCAATCTTGTTCAAAAGTTACACCTTAGTTGGAGAGTCCACAACACCCGCCATGTCGGCAGTCGTGACGGACAGTTCACTTCTCGAGAATTTCCACTTCAGTGGAGGAAGGAGAGAGCATGAAAATGCCAGAGTCGTGGACGAATTTTCGTTTATATGTAGGGAATGGAGGCATGTGGGAATGGACCTTTTCGGTGATGCGGCCGCCACTTTGAATTCTATTGTTTCAAATAGCTATTATGAGATGCTCAGCAAATACATACGAAGTTACCTCCTGAGCATCCCATAATAGCTATTTGAAACAACAGAATTCAAAATGGCCGGTGTACGTCTCGCCCAAAAGGTCCATTGGTATGGCGTGGAATGAAGATCAACCTCATACGTTTGATCTAAAGTAAGGACAACATCGTCTTTGTGTGGCTGATCAGTGGTGTAAGGT